AGGTTATGGAAGACTAGTTATATATATTGTGCTTATGAGACACACACCAGTAAATAGCTACATATATATATATATATATATATATATATATATATATATATATATATATATATATATATATATATATATATATATATATATATATATAACCACAAGGAAAAAAGAAAAACACAGAAATTCCAGCGCTTTCGTGCAAATCACATACAGAATTTGAGTACAGTCTGTACTCACCTGATACAAGCGCTTAAGCTAAATATTTTCCTTGTGATTCTTCAACATACTGAATCACACTTGCACCTACAGTGATTTACTTGCATATATATATATATATATATATATATATATATATATATATATATATATATATATATATATATATATATATATATATATATATATATATATATATATATATTATAAATGTTATATTAAAGACACTAATAATAATAATGATAATATTAATCATCATAGCCCTGTAAATAATAATACTTTCGCTTTCTCCGACATCAATTTTGTGTTCTCACACCAGATATTTAGTAATATGTGAGATATATACTTAAAACACAATTGAAATATGAGGAATTTCATTCGTATATCATATAACCACTTCAAGATTGAGGCAGTTCCTCGAATAGGGTTTCGACATGACAGTGTGACAGGCTACTGTCAGCCCTTACACCTAGTAAGGTTAGTTTAATCCTGGGCATTAATATGACAGAGTGGGAGGCCAGGAATGAACCCAGAGTATCATAGAATCTAGAATGTCAGTGGTCTGAAGTAGTATATAATTGCACGATGAGACAAACATACAAACAAGCAAATATAATCAAGAAGAATCCAAATTAGAGGAATGAAGATAACAAAGTGTTCAGCAACATAAAAAATATTTTAGACATTTTTGCAAATGTGAAATTTAATTCCAGGATTCACAGTTCCATTTATCAGAAATATTTTACTGCCTGTCCTCCTTTTTTATTTTCTGTCGGCTGACTGTGAACGTCAGGAAAAACAAATATTTCACTAAAATCATTTTACAATTATTGAAAGGTTTTTACTATGCGGATATTAATGTTTTAATTCCTCTGAATAAAAAATCTACGAAGTGGAGTGGAATAATTAATATCCAAAACGTAGCGACCAATTAAACGCACAGTTGATGAAGGAGAGAAAGAGGTGGGCATGTTTTTATGTATGTAGGGAACGGTGTCGGGCCAAGTACCCTCTGGTGACCCATGTGCCAGCTGACAGATGATGCGAGTAAAATTTAAATTAGTATATCGGAAATGAGAAGAATCATTGGCCAAGGTGATTATCACCCCAATAATGTATCCATATTTATGTATTTTTTACTCTCTCTCTCTCTCCTCTCTCTCTCTCTACATACGGAAATACACTTATAAATATCGCATAGCTCAATATGCACGCCAATATACGGACATTCTCACTATCTCCCGGTAGCAAATACACAAGCATACACTCACAGTATGTCACATTATGTTAAAAGTTCTTAGGTTCTATTTATTGAGAAAATACTAGTCTGCTGTGTCTTATTTTTTGTCTAGTTACCAATGCAATATTATCTCTCTTGGTGGATGATAAATACGGCTTCACTTTGCTAATTTCCCTGAGAAGAAAGCCAATTTCAACTAACGTTCCCCTCAGATAGAATACATTATGGGCTCACTTTGACTTCCACTACAAGACCCTCAATTGGAACATACCTAAACTATTAAACCTAACAACCTTACAAACCTAATCTAACCTAATATAGGCTACCGACTAAACGAAAACCTAACCTGACACATAAACACAACCCTAATCGTATTATAACTAACCCTAACCTCACCTAACCTAACCTGCTACTGCTTACTTAAAAACTAACCCAAAATCTATCAAGGAGAGGTTGCGGGATTACATTGACACTGCCTCCAGGTCTCCTTCTAGGATTAATTTGGCCTATTATTTGTCAAGAAGAAATGTTATAATCCTCTAAGTTGGTCAACCGTGTAGACTGAAGCTCCGCCTTTAAGAGTATAGAGACGAGGTGTTGGTGGTGGTAATAGTGGTGGTGGTGGTGGGGGTAATAGTAGTGGTGGTAATTGGTGGAACAATAGTAGTATTGGTGGTGGTAATGATGGTGGTAATATTGTTGGTAGTGGTGGTGTTCAACTCAGCAGATCCCAATCGTCTATCTCCAGGGACCTCCGGTATATTATCTGCTTTGCTAAATTTCCATTATGTCTTCTTCATTATCTAGTTAAGTCAATGAGGACAGTAGCGAGATATAGTCAAGGATTCTTGGCAGATGTTGAAGTAGAGTGCAAGTGGCGGAAGTGACCTGGTCAGTGTTTTGC